GCACCCTCCCCCGTCCCGCACCCTCCCCCCACCCTCCCCGCACCCCTCCCCGCACTCTCGCCACACTCACCCCACACCCTCCCCTTGGTGCCACCACATTCAGCTCACGGAAGGCCGCGTGGACACGCGGCTCGCCAGCTCCCCGTGCGAGGTGCTGGCAGGATGTTTGTGGAAGCGTCTCTGCCCAGGGCTTCATTTCACTGCATGTCCCATTCAATGTCCTACGGGGATCGCTGCCAGACTGGAGTAGGTGGCACGACGCTCGCTCGCGAGATGTCGGCTGTCTGTGATGTGCTGGCTGCGACCTGAACACAGTCCCGGCTGAAATGTTTTCTTTCTTGATGTCCTCTGTTGTGTCCGAGATGAGCTGATGATGGAGCCGTGTCTCCCCCGCCGCTAAATTGACCCCCCCCATCTCCCCCACCCATCTCTCTCCCCCACCCCACAGAGGGGAGCTCATTCCGCGGGTTCACTACACGCAGGAGGAAGTAGCCACGTGGTGAGTGAGCGACGTGGGCACAGCAAGGAGGCGGCACGGGGAAGGAAAGGGGGGAGGAGAAGAGATGTTTGAATTGAGAAACTAAATTCCATTCAGTACCTCAAGAAGCTCCCGGTACGAGCAGCGAACCGTCGGGCGTAGTTCCGAACAACAAGCGGTACAACTCGCAAGCACATCAGAGAGCCATGATGGTGATGATGCGGAGTTGTGATTATTATACACGAGGGGAGGAAATCGGGGCACCAGGAAAGAACCCTGGCGTGACAGAGGAAACACTCCATCCCCGTACAGATGGAAACAGATGGCGATTAGTCCACTTGAGTAACGCCTTCTCCTGGCGAGCCAGGGTACGGCACCTTGTGTGCGGTGACCCACCAACCCTCGGTGCTGCCTCCACAGCGCTGGCTCACAGGCAGCCGCGTGCGGCAGCACAGCAGCCACCACCACCACCACCACCCGGCTGAATGATGATAACGGCGATGTCCCACCCCACTGGCTCCCCCCAGGGGGGAGGTGTACCGCAAGCTGGCCGGGCTGTACCCGACACACGCGTGTAAGGAGCACGTGGACGCCTTCCGTCTCTTGGAGCAGCACTGCGGCTACAGCGAGGACTCGATCCCACAACTCGAGGACGTGTCCACGTTCCTTCTGGGTGCGGGGGAGGGGGTCGGGGGTGGGGGGGTGCAGGGCGGGGGGGGCGGTCGGGGTGGGGGTGCAGGGCGGCTGTGGGGATCGAGAGGCTGGGGATGTTGTGCGGGTTGGGTTGCGGAGGTTCTGGATGGATGTGCCTACGGGTGGTTAAATTGACTATTTGTCTGCTCCTGTGTGGATGAGTAAATAGGTCGGTCAGTGGGTATGTGGGTGGATGGGTGTGTAAGTGTTTGAATGTCTTGAGTGAGTGAATGAGTGGTCGAGTGAGTTTCCATGTGAGTGGCTCCCTGGTTAAATTCTGTAAGGCGCAGTTGGGTCATCCAGAGGCGGCGGGTGTTTGAACCGCAGCTACGCTCGCCAACCAACTCACATGTCGGCATGCCTGTCTGCTCCTCTGCCCACCCCCGACTGTCCCTACCCCTCGCCCCCCAGAGCGCACAGGGTTCCAGCTGCGCCCCGCGGCGGGGCTGCTGTCGGCGCGAGACTTCCTGGCGAGTCTCGCGTTCCGCGTGTTCCAGTGCACGCAGTACATCCGCCACGCGTCCTCGCCCATGCACTCCCCCGAGCCGTGAGGACACTCGCCACACGCGCACTCACTCACAACGCACACAACTCGCGTGCATTGCGATGACTGTGACCCCCCCCCCCATCCCGCGTGCTTCTGCGCCACGTGCTCACAGCGACTGCTGTCACGAACTGCTCGGTCACGTGCCCATGCTGGCGGACAGCACCTTTGCGCAATTCTCACAGGTGAGCGGGGTGAGCGTGGTGAGCGGGGTGAGCGGGGTGAGCAGGGTGAGTGTGATGTGTGAGGTGAACGTAGTTGGGCGGGTGAGGGGGGCCGAGTGAACGGAGTGAGGGAGGTAAGGTGGAGTTTGGTGAGCACGGAGAGACCGCCAACACACCCCCCCTCCCCCCCCGTGTAGAACATTGGACTGGCGTCTCTGGGAGCGAGTGATGAAGACATCGAGAAACTGGCGACGGTGAGGAACGGAACCCCGCCCCCCGCAATTCACACATCGCCACGTCCACTCACCTGTGCACGACGAGACCCACACCTGTGCCCCTCTACCCACCTGTGCACGACGAGACCCCCACCTGTGCACGACGAGACCCACACCTGTGCCCCTCTACCCACCTGTGCACGACGAGACCCACACCTGTGCCCCTCTACCCACCTGTGCACGACGAGACCCACACCTATGCCCCTCTACCCACCTGTGCACGACGAGACCCACACCTGTGCCCCTCTACCCACCTGTGCACGACGAGACCCACACCTGTGCCCCTCTACCCACCTGTGCACGACGAGACCCACACCTGTGCCCCTCTACCCCAGCTCTACTGGTTCACGGTGGAGTTCGGGCTCTGCAAGCAGGAGGGGCACGTGAAGGCGTACGGGGCGGGGCTCCTCTCCTCCTTCGGGGAGCTCGTGGTGAGTGGCGCCCGTCTCACCCCCCCCCTTCACTTGCCTCACTCCTATCCTTCTCGCCTGCTCCGTCACTGCTCACCTGTCACAGAAAACAACCCCTCGAGCAATCGATGCCCCTCTTCACTGCACCCCACTCCGCCCTCCCCCAGTTCGCGCTGTCCGGAGAGCCCGAGTACCGCGCCTTCGAGGCGGAGGCAGCGGCGCTGCAGCCGTACCAGGACCAGACCTACCAGCCCGTGTACTTCGTGTCAGACAGCCTGGAGGACGCCAAGGACAAGCTCAGGTGTGGTTGGACACCCGAGTCACACCTTCGCCACAGCACCCGACTGTCAAGCACAGCAAAGTAACTAAATAGCTGAGCAGACAATCCACCTGCTTCCCGCGGCTTCACATTCGTATGAAGAAAAGTGAGCGGGCTTGGGCTGCAGGACACGCCATGGCGAGGAGGGGTCATGGCTAAAGGTCAAGACTATGAGCGGAGTAGCAGCCAGGGGGATGACCGCGTCGGAGATGGCGTCTACCGGGGAGATGGAGCGATATCAGTTCCCGTAGAGAAGGTGCTAGGTGGATTCGCAGTAGGGGCGATGTTTCTGTTGCAGCCGTGTAGTATCACAATTTAGTTATTTGCAGGAAATTATTCAGCATCGGGGTGTTTGGCCAATATCAGTTACAAGTTGTATGTTCTTGATTTGAAGCTTTCGCGACTGCAGGAATCCATACTCTTTGGTTCTTTGGGTAAAGTCACGCAGGTAGAAAATAAAATAAATCACGTTTCTGGCGCAACACAAGCGTCCATCGTCAGGTGGGAAAGCATGCATACCTGATGAAGGACGCTTGTGTTGCGCCCGAAACGTCGTGGCTATCGATGCTGCTATTGTAAGGTTGCTCGCGAACAGAACTTGCCCCCAAGTGTGCTAAAGGCTACATGGGGGGGGTACCTTTGTTCTTGCCGTGGAGCAGGCAGTACGCGCAGGGCGTGCGCCGCCCCGTGGCTCTGCGCTTCGACCCCGTCACGCGCTCCGTGCACGCCCTCGACTCCACGCGCTCCCTGCGCACGGCCGTCGACGCCCTCCAGGAGCAAGTGTCGGTGCTCTCCTACGCCCTCTCCAGGATGGCCTAGCGCCCACCGCCCTCTTCCTCCTCTTAGTCCTCGGGGGAGTGAGATCAACCCGGTTCCCCGCCTTCGCTACTGAAAGCTGCACCCCCCGCACCCCCATAAGGGGCAGCTCTTGGAGGTCAAGTGCGTGTGTCTCGACTGTGCGACAGCTGTGAAATCTGGCAGAGGGTAGAACGCGTTGGCGAGGTGTGGTGGCGGCGGCAGCATCAACGTCTTTGGCCACGAGATGTTCATCTTAATGAGCTGCCAAAAGGGAGGTCAGTCTGGTGGTGCAGGGTAGCGGAGAAGCTCCCCCACCCCACTCGCCCGGCCTGCTGAATGCGCGAGAAAGCAGTCCCCTACGTTTGTGGACACGTGGACCGACTGGGTACCTCGCTCGTAGACACGTGCTCAATAAGCTGGTGGACGGTGGACACGTGTGTCCTCTGGGTCTGTGTACACGCGACAGGCGTTTTCTAAACGGATAGAAGTCTCATAAATTGAAAACGTGGGCATCTATCTCCTGGGTCAAAGGTGTCCTTTAAGTGAAACATCTAGGCAGATGTGCTCTGGGCTGATGAGACAACTTTCCTGGGCTGGTGAACACGTAGACGTGTCCTCTCGGTTAGTGAACATAGGGACACACGTGTCCCCGATGTCAGGGTTCTCGTGTTAGGGGCTACTGCGTCAGGGCGAGTTTGTGGTTAGGGTCGTGAATGTCCGAATTGGCCTCAAGTCCCCCTTGCTGTGTGACCGCATTTGTCTGGCTGTCTCTGCGTGTCTTGCCGCTGTCTTCATGTCTCGCTGTCTCGCTGCATCATTAAACGCGTCTCCCCGCCCTCCGTGAGTCTGTCTCCGTGCGTGTGTCGCCACTGTGCATTCAAGAGGCATCAGTGGAGAGTGGAGAGCTCGGCAGAGACGCAGCGAAAAGGTCCCAGAGACATTGGCCAGGAAAACGGCTCCGCGGTACCACCCACAGTGGCAAATGCTAACAAGTATTCTATCGAAGCATTCAATATCTATATTACAAAATGTGATAGCAAGGTTGCCGTGGTAGCTCTTGATGACTGAAGGGTACCGTCGTGTGATCGTGGGGAAAAAAGTGATGTTAAACACCTACCAGTGGTGGAGACTCACCCCTGCCACAGGAATGCGGAGTTTCCACCACGAGGCGAGGGGACCGTAAGCAAGAGATGAGCACGGCCTCAATACTTTCGAGCAGGAAACCACTTTGAATTTGTAAAAGTTACAAAGAGCCAAATACGCTTTCACTGAATGCGCCTCTACGCCAATTTGGATGCTCGTGCAGTGCACGCTGCCCAAGGTGGCGCGGACACCCCGAACTTAACACGGCGTGCAAACGTTCTGCTTCAATTTTATTTTCTATTCACTATCGCAACATCTTTGCACCTTAATTTACTGCGCGTTAGAGACCTTCAATTACAATAAAACATTAAAAAATATTAAACAACCTGCAGTGCTGGGGAAAAAAATTGCAATGGCAGGTGCTTTATGTTTTGAATCCACCTCGGAGGTACAACTGCTCGCCACGCCGCTGTGTATTGCACATTGGGCCACCTCACGAATACCCCCCCCCCCCCATCCTGCATGCGTAGCTATGCAACAAGTGCTAAGCAATGAGAGATGGCGACACGCACGCACGCACACACACATTGTGCTTGGGGCTCTAGTGCCACCGCCGCATATACCTAGGGAACAATGAGGTGAATGTGCGCTTGTGTTTATGTCAAACAAAGCAATTCTACCGAGAATGCTCGACCCAGCCGCAGTGTTGGCTACGCAGCGTTTCCAACGTGTCGACGTCCTCTGTGTGTATGCAGTGCAGCCCCTGAAGTAGCCTTGAATTAAACGCTCAGTTCACACCCGCCGTGCATTCTGTACATTCACATTACACACGCACGCGCCCCGGTGCCCGAGCCCTCGCGCGCCCTCATGAACACGGTCTCCCCAGGGACTCTCTCCGTAAGCGACAGAGCTCGTGTCGCAGCGACTCCACCTCGGCCTTCGCTTCCGCCAACGCCAAGTTGGTGGCCGCGAGCCGCCGCTTCAGATCTTCCGCCTCGTCGTCTTCATCCCCGGCGGAATGGCCCCGACGCCCCGCCGCCTCGCGAGTCTCATCTGGCCTCCCCTGCCCAGACTCCGTCTCGCCGTCGCGATCCGTCTTTCCGTTCCCCCTTCCTTCCTTCAATCGACGGGCGGCGGCACCTTGAGCGCCATCGTGGCCCCCCAGGCTCTGGTCTGAGGCCGTGCAGAGCAGGCAGGCGTGACTACTGCTGGGCCCCCCTCCTGGCCCCCCTATAGCACATACACACACAGCAGTAGGGCACATGCAGTCGTCACGACAGTTAGGATGCAATTATTGTTTATCCAACAGTCTCAAGTCTCTTTTTCAAGATGGTCCTATCAAGTTTTTTGCAGCAGGGGGCGATGTTGCTCCTGTGTGTGATCCCGGCTGAGTAAATTGCAAGTAATCGTTCAGCAGCAATAGGATGTTTGGCCAACACCAGTTACATTGTATGTCTTTTTTAAGCTACGGGAGGAATTCAGAAAACCCAGAGGTACTCCTACACAGAACAGGAGGAGAACGTACAAGCTACACACTGAAAAGCACTTAATTTGGGAATCGAACCCAAGCCCCTACTTGCTGTGAGGCCCAAGTCGAGCCATTTGTAACGATGCAGCTGAAAGCAGCTGTGGTGATAACAGCAGTGCGAGTCCAACCAGTCATTTTGTGATGAAACCATTCCCTGCGTACAGCCTCACGTCAGTGGCAGGAGTTCCACATTCCTATGAAGGGTACGAGTCTATAGAATCACCGTCGATCTCCCCATAATGCGGTACTTATTTTAACAACCCCTGCGTGATGATGGACTGAGTAACCCCCCCCCCCCCCCAATCAGGATTTGAACTCGCAAGCTTCAGATTGCGAGCAACTCGCCCGAGCGCTTAACCACCTGACCGGTCATTTGTATAACGAAGCGGTCAAAGTGACTGTGATGACGATAGCGGTGGCGGTGTGCGGTGCGTGACAGCGAGGTCCGCGTGCACAGACGCCGGTACCCGAGATGCAGAAGACACCGTCGGGGCCGCGTTGGATGGACACGTGCGAGATGGCAACGTTCACGGGCACGGGGCCTGGGGAGGCCACGTTCATAGATGGGCCGTCATCCTGGAAACGACAACGAGAGGGATCTTCACTCGTTTTGGGAGCGTGGATATTTGACAAGGCCCTCGTCTCTTTATGTACAATTGCAATTATCACCGCAAGTATAACTTAATGTTTCCGTGGTTTAATTTCAATGTTGCTTAAAAATGTAATTGTCTGAGCCAAATAATATTACTGGGAATATATATTGTTAAATATTGATTAGGTATCTGCACTGTGTTCACGGTTGTTTATGCTCTAATTTAATTTCGTTGATTTTGCACCGATTTCCATTTGCTTGATTGTTCTACTAGTTTTCAAGTTATTCATTTTGTCATTCTGGTCACTCTTGCAAATGAGACACTCCTGGCTCTCTCGAGTTTCTACTTGAGTAAACAAAATAATCTTGAAACGTAAACATCTCCCGCACTAATAGACGAATGCCCGCTTGCAGGTTGGTGCTGCAGCAGTGACGTGCGGTGAGGTCAATGGCTGGGGAGGCAGATTCACACAGAGGGGGGCGTGGCCTCACGGCGGGGGGCGTGTTAGACACGTCCCCCTCAGTGAGGCAGATGTGATGGCTGCCTCCCCTGGTGCATTTTCATTGCAGTTTCATGACGAGACCAGCGAGCCTAAATATCTTTATACACGTACGTGAAATAAGTTACCTGAAGTATGGAAGGCGAAGACATGAAATGAAGGGGTCTACAAACATAACATTGGGGACATACAGAGATAGTAACAGGCACGCGCTTATTGCCCGCGCTCCATCCAGTTACTGAGGGGTTGCGCAATCAGAGGGGAGGCTGAGCGTATCGCTGCCTCACCTCTCGTCTCTTCCTGTATTTGCTGCGGAGCTCCACAAATTTGGCGATTTTGACTATAAAAAATTTTGGAATCGTACAGAAATGACATTTATAACACATATCAGTGGAAAAATCTTAATATTTATTTGATTTGATAATTTTTTTACTTTTCGTAACAGCTATTTTCATTGGAGTATGGCAGGTGAGGCTCTGCCTCCCCTGCCACCCTGACCGCACGTCCATGTGCTGCAGTGCCTTGCACCTCACAGGGGGAGCTGTCATCATCAGGGGGTCCCCTAAGAAAGAAGAGGAAACTCCAGCTGGACATTGGAATAATTGAGATGAGAGTTCCAATCTGGTTAAATATAAAACAAGCTTAAAACTCAAACTTCAATGCCCAGTATCTCAAAGCGCCTGACATCGCATTTCAACCATTCCAGTGTCCAGCTGGAGTTTCCTTTTCTCTCTTCATGATGACAGAGATCAGCCAAACAGGAATCAGAGTAAAAACAATGTTGTCTTTGTTATTCAAATGAAACAATTAGTGGTGTAATGTTTCAAAATAAAAAAATCTGGACCATGACTTCCGGCACACACAGCCTTCTCTTTTTCGAATGTCACGGGATATTTAACAAGCAGCGAACACGCTACCACTTGGCCATTTCACCGACAGAAATAATAATAAAAATCATCATGCGCTGACCCTGATGGTGATGCTGCAGTCACAGACGCTCAGCACCAGCGGCAGGACCTCGGTTGGGATGAGCTCATCCTCCACGAAGTAGCCCAAATTGGAGAGATAGGACGTGGACAGAGACGCAGACACGGCCCGCACGTGGCACTGCAGGAGGTCTCGCACGGGGGCGGGGAGGTTGCGGGGGCCGGTGGCCGGAGACATGGCGGAGAGCGAGAGGGCCTCGCTGTCGTCAGCGAGCCGGCTCTCCAGGCGCAGCGTGATCTGAGGGGGCTCCCCGGGTCCCCGCGTGCCTCCCGACGCGCTCCGTGCCCCCGAGCCTGAACGAACACCGCAGCAGCAGCAGTCGATGAAAGCGTGCACGGTAACCAATGTCATCCACAGTCGAGCCCGTCCATCCAATTGAGAAATCGATTTATCTACCAATTTTTCTGGTTAATTACTTGACTATCCCCAGCAGGCCACCTGGATTCGAACCCAGGTCCTCAGTGGTGCCGGCTCAGCGCTCCCGACATCTGAGCCGCCTGCCGACCTCGATGGAGTTTAATCATCCCAGCTCATGGCCACAGCTGTAGGAGTGTGGGCCAGGGCCCTGGTTGCGTTGCCATTTATAACAGAATATCTAAAGCACACAACAAGCCTCCTTCACGAATCTGTCCATCCACAAAATTGATGTAACGGCCACCACCACACTCCCCGCCACACACACTCACTGGCACTGCGGGCGCTCAGGTACTGTTTGGCGCTGACGTTGCCCAGCTGTTCGCAGCGGACGCCGCGGAGCTGCAGAGCGACAGTAGAGCGGCCCTCCAACGCGTCCACGCTGCACTCCAACGCTTGCACGTGCAGCAGCATCACCGAGGCCTGCGGTGCCAGGCACAGGGCATGGGGAGCGCCCGCCAGTGAGGGTGCGTACGACTGCGTGTTGGGCAGGGGCCACTTCGTGCAGGCAACCGTAGGTGCGTAAGGAGGCGTGCAGGTATCTGTGGCGATTGCATTACATTGCGATTTAACATTTAGCTTAGTCGTGATGCGGGCCACTTTTGCAAACGAAACAGTCCTGGTCTCTTGGGTCTGTTGCACTGTATGCAACCAATCGTGGTAATCGGAGGTGAGAAATCGGAGGTCCCACATGGTTAAACAAATGAAACTTGAATGTAAACAAGTTAGTAATTTCCTGCTACAAAGGGAATGATGTTGTGCTCATCTGCCATTCACAGCCCGAAGCCAGTGGTGGTAACTCCACGTTGCCATGGTGGGGGCGTGTCTACCCATAGGACAATCATCGTTCACTTCCCCACGAATTGGTACTCGTGTTATCGTACCCACAGGACGAAGGGCCGAGTCAACCCCTAACCGAGATTTGAACTCGCAACCGTCCGTGCGAGTGGCCACGAGGGTTGTGAAGGGAAGGGGCAGCTTGTTACCAGGTCTCTGACGGGGTCGCCTTCGTTCCACGAGGTGGAGCTGCTGGGCTCCGGGGACGGTCGTCCCAGGGCTCCGTCGGCGCTCTCTGCTGGGCTCTGGGGGTGCCCCCCCCCATCAATCAATCCGCCCAACATTTTATCTGCAACCGCCGCATACAAGGAAATCTCTCTCAATGTTTGTGTCTCCTGAGTCGGCGTAGCCTGGTGAAAGGGTGAGAGGGGACGAAACGCTGGGTGGCAGGGTGGCGCAGTGGTAACACTCGTGCCGCATAGCAAGACGGAGCCTTGGTTCAATTCCTGACTCGGGCACATTTGTGTGTGGAATGGGTACGTTCTTCCCCTGCTCTACATCTCATTTCTGAAGATGTCACTTAGCAACACCGCCACCAACTGAAAAAACTTGGCAGGACTCTCCCGAAGAGTTATGAGACTCAGTGAGGCTTTCTCGGGTAAATGAGCGTGGGAAAGAGTTATAAACAGAAGGCAAAGCGGAAGAGGGAGGAGTGTGTGAGCCCAGGAGACAAGGACTCAGCCGAAGGCCACAGAGGAAAAAGCCTCCACCACCTCGTGCAGGGGTGTCCATGTGTAAGACGATGAAGTTGTCCGAGCCATCGCTGTCCACCGAGATAGAGTCCTCCTCCATGCCCTCGCCACACTCTCCGCTTAGCTTGCTCATGGACATGCTCGGCTCCATGTGTTGTCTGCCTGTGCTTTCTCTGTGCACACAGACAAAGATACCCCGGATAGCCCTTAACAGATTGCTGGGGCAATTCCTCTGAGCGAGCATCTATGAAGGCCGGCACGGCACAAGAGGAGATGGTGGGTGGCCAACACCACACCTGGCCGCCTTTGTCTTTCTAGTCGCGATGTTTTACACATTGCACCAGGTGCTAATTCGAGGCTGAGTCGACCTAGGGGAGGCCCAGGACCAGTTCAGATAATTGTCACTGGTGTTGGCCATGAGCGGGAATCGAATTTGAGTCGCCGAGATCATAGTAGTGTGCTCACCACTGCACCCCCACTCCCTGCGCACACATGCCATGTACATCAGCACGTATGACAGCACAGCCTAAAAAAAACTATTGGTTGTAAAAATGACCCTTTAATCTCATATCATTTCAAATAAACTACTTTGATTCCAAGTAAGCATTTGCCAATTACATGCACTGACAGTGTCAAAGTTTATTTTACCAGGTAAGAAGTTGAGCCTACATGGGATACTTTACAAGGCCAACTGGGTCATGATGGCCATACAAATAAAATGGAGAGATAACACAAGGCAAATTACATATTTCAAGTGACTGTTTAGATGTAATGAGCCATAAGGTAATTAAAGACGTACACTAGAACGAACAACATCACGAGAATAAACACACACCAATATAAATTGACTGCAAGTAAACTCTTCAATGGGCAAAGGGCATTTACGAAGGGGAAGGTTAACGTATTAACAAAAACAAAACCACAAGGGCAACACTGACGGGCCTGTGGACTCGAGTTAATTATTACAGCAACGGTTGCATTCAAATAGATTGTGGGTCAGCGGATTGAAGGAATGCAAGGTCAATGGAGGTCGTTAAGATTTGAGTGTGTGTATGTATGCATGTGGCATCGATCCTGGCACAAGCGCAGTGGTCATGTCTCAAGTGACGAATGGCAGCAGTTGTTGTGCATGTGGCTGAGCAGGAAAAAGCAAACACAATTATATCATAAATCATAATTGTTCTTTGGGTTAGGCCACGTAATGATCCGATCAAATTTGTGTCATTAAGACTCTCCCACATGTACAAGCATCTAACGTTATTTCAGCCCATCGGTAAACTGAAGAACAATTCTCAAAAAAAACATTTGAACTAAGTGACACATTAGGACAAGATCCGGGAAGTCATTCTAGGGTTGTTAGGGTGACACGGATTGTGGCCAGATAATCACGTGGCCTAATCCAATAATCAATTATGAATCACAGGATTGTCTGCGAAAACCTACGTGTTCAGTGAACAATGATATCTTACCGGCTTGTGGAGAGGCCAATCTTCTGCATGGTGGAGTTCAGCGCCACCTTGGTGATGATGAAGGCGTCCTTGGTTTTGTCCTTGGTGATGGTTAAGGCGTTCACAATGTCGGTCTGCAGGCGCTGCGAGGTGGCCAGCTCCTCCACACTCTGACCAAACGACGGGCTGTTGCTGGCCAGGTGCACGCTGGTGCTATTGTGGGCATGGAGAGGGTCCGTCTCGCTCGACATACCCCCGTCAACCTCTTCGGGTGTCGGGGAGCACAAGAGGTCCGGCGCATCGCAGAACGTGCGTTCTCCTGCCCTATCGCCACTGGCACCGGAATCGGCGTCGCTCTTTCCCCGGCTTCTGAAGCCACCGGTTCCCGGCGAGATGTCGGACCCTGACAAGCTGGTGCTCTCAGAGGTGTGGCCCTTGCTGCTGGGCGCCGGCTCCGGGGCAGGCAACAGAAGCAGTGCCACCTCCGCGCTGGGCACCAGAACGGCGAGACTCACGCTCCCGTGCTGTGGCGGCACCCCGGTCATGCTCTGGTGGTCTTCTCGCACCTGCTCCTGCAGGCATAGCAAGGCCTGCTGAAGGCGCAGCAAGAACACGTACTGCAGATGGCTGATTTGGGCGCTGACGTGCGCCGGGCTGTACATCAACACGTGAAGATCCGCCTGTGGGAATGTGCCGGCGCCCTCTTCCGTGCCCGGGCTGGATCCCCCCCCCGACTCCGGAGAGCTCCCATCCTCCTCCGGGCGTCTTCGCGGTCGCTCTGTGGCACCGCGCTCTCGGGCGGCGGCGGTGACCTGCCCTCCGGCGGATACTCCAGCGCTTTTCGTGGCGTCGCAAGAGTTCAGAAGGGGCCGGCAGAGCCACAGGGTGACGGGGAAAGAGTCGATGCACCCCAGCGGGCGTCCTCGCCCCTCGTAGTCCACCCAGAACTGCGACAGGTGCATGGCCCACACGTCGCCGGACGCGTGGGTCTTGAGTGCGTCGCGGGTTAGGTCTGCCGCCACGTCGTCCCGCTCGATGCGGTACAACTTGGTGTCCATCCCTTCTGCATGGCGCCAAAACATGGGACTCACGCTGTGCACGCTTTCCGCCGATTTGGGAAAGCTAGTGAAGTCGCCGTGGTAAAAGTTTGACTCTTGGAATCGCGTGAGGATATGTTTGAGATCGGAGCGCTGGCAATTGAGGCCGTGGCGTACATTGGTAGTGACCATGTCGGAGATCTGAAGGGAGATTGCGTGCGGTCGCCCGGGCTGCTCTACAACCTTTTCCGCTGGAAAGACAACCTAAACGACGACACAGGAAAGAAGATGCATTACCCAGGAAAGCCTCACCGAGTCTCAATACTCTCTCAGGAGGGTGCCGCCAAGTTTCCGCAGTAGCGAGCAATATTGCTGCTATGTCATTTCAACTGAGTCATTTGCAGGAAATTTTTCAACATTGGGATATTTGTATGTGTCTTTTAGCTATGGGCGGAAACCGGAAACCCGAGGAAACCCATTCAGAACAGGATAAAATAAAAATAACTCTACACAGAAAGTCGCTCGAGTCTGGAATCGAACCCAGCGCCCCGGCCCCTTCCTGCTGAGGCACAAGCGGCGCCACCGTGCTACCCTGCCGCATAAGTGGCACCGTCATTCGAGGTCATGTTGGGATCACCTTGAGCATGAGGCCATCCACACGGATGTCGATGTGCTCCGCAGGGTGCACCTCTTCCGCACCCTGCAGGGCCTTGAAGTGCTCCAGGCTCTGGTTGACGTCCAGCATGAAGCGGTTCATCCACAGGATGCTGCGTGCATCCATGGTGAACTGCAGGGCGTTCAGCTGCACGTATAGGTTGGAACTGGGGACTGAAAACAGTTGCATAGGCTTGAGTACGGAAAAAAACACTGCGAAGTGTGCAAACAAAGCGTGGAGAGATATGCATGCTTGGAATTTCACAGAGACAAAAAGAGGAACACATGGATTAGAAAATATAATGTAGGTTAACGAGATCATGCACACTGTAGTCAAAATGGGTTTGGAGGTCACATGCTAGGAGGGATGATGGGCAGTGGTCAAGAATAATAACGGAGTGCCAGCTAAGGAAGGAATCGTGTCCAATAGTATGTCCAGCTAGGGGACGGACCGACAAATCCATTTCTGTACAGATGCTGGGTGGATTGTTACATCGCAGGAACGGAAGAGGCGGCATCGGTTTGGAGAGGCCTTCATCCTGCAGTGGATTGACCATGGCCAATCATGAAAGTTGCATACAATGTACAAGCACATACGAAAATGTACATGAACACAGCACAATATTTCGTGTAAAGGTGTGCCAAGTTGTCTTCTTTACAGTGTAAGAACAAGTTGCACAAACGCATCACTTTCTAACCGGTACACCAGTGTCATGCAGAGCTCGGCAAGAGCGACGTGGTGGTGCACAGGCAAAGGCAAAAGCTTACTGGGAAACTGCCTCTCCTCCGGGAAGTAGTAGTCGGTAAATTCCATGTGGATGGCCGACATCTCGGGTGGCAGAAACAGCGCCTTTTTATTACAGGAGAGCAGCTTTTGAGGGGTGCCCTGTCTCATGTCAGCCGTGGATACCTGCAAATACACACGTCGAGAACTTTTGTTTGAAACACAAACATTCATCAAATACCACAAGGGTGAGGGGGCTTGTGTACACACACTACACTGGCACCAATGCACACAACAGGCAGGATCTTCAAATCCAATTCTTTCCATGAAAGATGAGGAAAACCAGCGCAGCAGAACGTGTGCCAACTGGGAACAAATTTAAATAGCAGCGCGCACAGGGGTACTATTCACAAACAGCAGGAGGGCCCTACTCCCATCGTGCCTTGCGTGCACGTCATGTGACCACCACCTTGCAGGTACGGTGCTCTCAGCCGTGTCTCATCCACCAACTCAGTGGAGATGGACGTGTGGCACTATTATTGCTGGGATGGCCACACCGTCAACTTTTGAGTTGATGGACTCGACGATAATATGGCCCATAGTCAGGACACGCAAGCATGATGGGAGTCGTGCCTTCCTGCTGTTTGTGAGCGGGACACGTTTACATGGTGTTATATCTACACAGGGGGAGATTGCACGTGTGGGAACGTAGTGCACCCTGGCCAACGGTGTAAGCATTGGCTACGCAGTAAGTACGCAACCATTCACTTGCTGGGGGACTCGATGAATTGTCATGATTTCAAGTCACGATTTGATTCAGCAATTTATATTTTTTTGCCGAGTTTGTATCGTCTCGTTTGTATTGTCTGGTATTCTGCCTTCCTTATTCTACCGGAGCGTGGGGAATACCTGATACACGTCAATATCCTCCACCCGCAGCACGAGGCAGCTTGACAGGAGCTTGGTGTTTGACGGCTGCGCTGCGGAAGCTGAAGCGCCCATGCCTCTGCTCACTCCCTCCGCTTTGTGGTCATCTGTGCCATTGCCCGGTCAATACCAACACAGAAACGCACTCATCAGCAAATATGTCCGAAACCCACGTCTTGCTGTGGCGGGGATCCAACATAGACAACAAGTTGCATAGTTTACGTGCCAAGCTCGATAAGCCGAGTATCAGGATAAAGGTGTCATTGTGGCAAAAGCCACCGATGCCACCACTGCTCGCGGCCAACCTTTCCTGCCCTCTGCCAGATCCTGCAGTTGTTGCGGTTACCACAAGTGAGCACATATTACGGCCCTGGGCATCAATAGCACAAGCGTTAGCACTGCGCCACTCTGCCGCCCAGGGCTTTGGGGACAATTAATCAAGGTAACCCTACAACCCCTGTTACATCACCGTGGATGTAGGGCGGTGTTCGGGTTAGGGATCAGGGTAGCATTGTTGGGGTCTCACTTGAGATGGAGAAGTCAGACAGGGACCTGGTGGTGCAGAGTTTCGGGGGCATGGTGCCCGCGTCTCCAGCTGCGACCTTCAGCTGTGCCACTTGACTCCTGAATTCCTCCAGCAGACCCGACGCCCACTTCATGCGCGCTTCTGTAGACTCGTTGTAGTGCTCCCAGTGTTCGCACGGCTGACCTGCAGGCCACATACCCGCGGTTATACCTGCTCCGGTTGCCACATCACTTTTCACGACACATTGATAAATATATTTCTATTGTATTCTGCTTGCTTAGGCAGCAAGCTTTCACCGGGTCTCAGGAGTCTTTTTCAGGAGGGCCCTGCTAAGTTTTCACAGGAGGGGGTGACAATTGATCTGTTTCTCAATCAAGTAATTTGTGGGTAACATGTAAAATTTGTTAAAGTAGAATCATCAAGCCGGCACACAATTGCTTAGTCTTCTTCAACTAATGTCACAGGGTCTTTAACGTCCACTGAAGAATAGACGGCAATGTATTTTACGGTTAATACACCCGCAGCATTAGCCAGGGCTGCCTACCAGAATCCAACCACAAACCTCTGCAACAAGTGACAACTGCATTACCGCTGGACCATGACAGCACAGCGGTGACATGTGTATATATATTAATGCCATGATATACATACTATCGCAATATCCATATCCTATAACATTGTAAAAGTAGTTCTCATTCCCACTCAAATTTACTTTTCTGTATGATCCAGTTCAGATAAATAACTGAAGTTCTTCAACTACAGTGCAATCAACAGAAGCCTGCCAAAAGTCTTATCATCATTGCACAATCCAGAATGCTCATATCGCAAAGCTGTCCACCTACACAATAATTAAATTACCACTACTACGATGACTTAGAAGAACAGCGACAGTGCCAAATGCGATAATCACAATACCGCGATATTCGACAAAGCGGACAAGGTGATTTTCGTGGCACCTGTCACCGTACGGCACGTCACAGTATTGTCGTGTCACCGCAACCAAAATACCCGCACCGAACCGACTGCGGGAAACTTGTTGCTAGGCACGCTCACCGGCCCTGTGGTAGGGGTAGTAGTCCAGGGTGAGGCGGTGGATCGTCAGCTGCATGGCCCCACCGGGAACCCGGCGCTTGGTTGGCTCTTCACACACAGCAATGCACAGTACAACAATTATTATTACTACGACGCTTTTCCATCCAGAAAATCCCCAGCCTCAAGAATAACTTTCAGGAGGGTCTTGCCAAGTTTTTGCAGGCGGGGCAATGCTGCTGTTGTGTGTAATCCAAATTGAGTCATTTGTAGGTCACTTCAGAATTTGGGTGTTTGGCCAACACCAGTTTACATTGTGTGTCTTAGCTTTGGGAGGAAACCATTTCTAAAATGAAGTCAGAGTTTCCGGCTCATCTCCTGTTTACAACCCTGAGCCAGTGGGGGGAATTCCACAATCCTATTGAGGTTGCTAGCCTGTACATAAGATAACTACCGTTGACTTCCACACAAAGTGGTACCCAACCAGGATTTGAATTTGAACATTCCGATTGGGAGCAGCTTGTTCTACCAATGAGCCACCTCGGCAAAATGATTTATTCATGCAAAAAACATGGCAATTATACACTATTAAACAAAATAATGACGTGTACATTTCAATTATTTAATATTCTAAAGTTAAAGCAGCCTTGATTATCAGTTCATGCACAAGTGGGATGGAAGGTAGCAGCACTGGACCTTGTGGGATGGCGACGGCGCTGGGAGCCCTTCATCCAGCAGTGGATAGACAATGTCCGACAATGATGAAAGTCACAGCTTAATTACAAACTGTGCTGAATTGTGATAAAGTGTGTACTCCAGTGAAAGGCGAGTGAATGGGGAATCTTGCTCTTAGCATAGGTGCAGTGTGGGTGTGCACAGCACAGGGGCCGCACACGCCGGCTGCCCCACCTTGGTTGACCGTACAGTTGTCGTCACACAGGTGCAGGTCAAGTCGCTTGATGACCGAGTGATACGACGGCTCTTTGACGTCGTGGCGCTCGAAGAAACAGCTGATCGCCTCCTTGTATCCTTTGGGGTCAGGCTGCTCCGACACCTGGGTGTTTGACTGACTGCCGGGCGACAGGTTTGCTGGCGTCTGTACGCACACGTGTTTACAAAGACAAAGATCCCACGTGTAGCTTTTAACAGGATTTTGGGGCAAGTGCTGTTCGTGAGCACGGCACACGAGGGGGTTGGGTGACCAGTACAACGCCCAGCTGCCTTTGGCTCCCCGGTACCAATGCTTAAACACGGCACCAGGTACACATTTAAAGGCTGAGCAGACATTGAGCAGGCCCAGAAATGGTTGAGATAATTGTCATAGATGTCAGCCCTGGCCTGGAAATTACCAGAGCTTGCCAGGTTTCTTGCGAAGTGCACTTAGCACTGCACCACCAATCAACTAATCACTACACCATGTGTACACACACAACACCGCAGGCACTCAATGCGACTGGATGCATAAAAAAAAAAAATCTATTATTTATACTTACATCTTGAGCCAGACAACACTTTAGGATGACGTGTTTTAAAAAATGTCATCTTAACTTCCGACCGCTTTAAATGACGGTAAGATATTTTCACCTCACGTTGTTTTACGCACCAGGTCCTTTGTGCATTCAGAAATGTTTTCAAACGGCACCTTTACTGAATTAAAGCATTTAAACATGTACTCTGTAGGTGTTCACGGTTGTGCCGTGTGTTGTTCGGCACAATGGCAGATGTTTTGGTCCACATGCTGGGAGCTTGTTCAGAAACTGAGATGAGAAGCTCCCAGTGCCTGGAGCGAAAGTTCAGACATCGTGCCAAACAACCCAGAAGTACAGCAAAGTGCCATTTTAATGTATTCTTAAACCTTTGACTCGTTAAATGCATTCAGCGCTGCACATTACCTGAACACGATGAGAAGCGAGGCTCTTCTGCTGCTGCGTAGACTTCTCGATGCTTTCTGCGAGCGACTGAGCGTACTTAACCACGGCCTTGAGCTGCGAGTCGGTGAGCACCCACAGCAGGTCATCCAGCAGTAGAGTCAGCTTGGAGGAGATCACATTGCAATCTGTCAACTGCAGAAAGAGAGAGGAAAGCCACAGGTCACCCACAATGCAAGGAGAGAGGAAAGACACAAGGCATCCGAAGAACAAAGAGAGAAGGCACAGGTCATCGACAGGCGAACTGCATGGGCTGAGTGCACTCTACACGAGCTAATGTAGGCGTGCATGGGCCACGGAGGGGATCGGCAGAGCGTCGCTTACGGTGCGCTTGAGCACGATGCGCAGGCGCGCTTGGTTGGTGATGAGTCGCAGCGGCGTAGCAGCAGCCTCTTGCTCCTCCGAGTGGATGGCGTCAACCTCGATCCGCAACGTCTGCCACTCGGCCTCCTTAAACGTCAGCACCTGCACGATCCGCAATGCGTACCGTTTACTCGAGCCATTCATTCACAATACACGCCAATCCATTTTGGAGACCCTCCTAATTTAATGGGGAGATGTTATAGAGAACATTACACGTTCATTCAAAGCTTCTAATCCAGTGGTTCTCAACCTTTTTCGTTTGGCAGCCCCCCAAACCAAACCACCGATCCCTGCCACCTCCACCACCCCCAGTCTCAAAAACACAATGAAGGTTACACTCCCACGATACACAAATCACAGTTTCACACCTCTAGCCAACGCGTTCCTCATACATGTTTAAAACTTCTCCCGCACAGTGTTCATGCCGCAGCCTTCGCCTTCCCTAAATAGTTTTCGTGCTCCCCAAGATTTGCACGCGACACAGGTTGAGAATAGCGGCTCTAATGCCTCGAATGAATGTGATGTATTAGTTATTCAATTCACTCTCCTGTGGGACACGGAACCACCGTTTGCACTGCTAGCTCTTGATAAAAGAGTAAGGGGGCCATTAGAAGTCACTGGGGCATCAAGAAATGCATTTTATGGCGAACATGAAGCTTTTTCATAATAAAGGTTTTTGGGTCAGATCGCGTTATTTATAAATGTGTCGCAACCCTCCACCACTCGACACGGTCAATCAGTAAAAAAAAGTGTCGCGTTTTGGCATTTAAAGGTGTAAGTCTCACAGCAATAACCATTGACCATTCAGCAATGCCAGGACAACAGTTACTTGAGCGGTGGAGTTACATTTGTGGAATTCCATCACCGCCTCCAGACCTGATATGGAGATGACCGCCACTCAACTATCACCACAATTTGAAACAATGATAATCTACAAGAACACTGCAATGTACAGCCTCACCCACCATATAAATTGTGGAGCTATCTTACAGCATACGCATAAACAAAATATTGAGGTGGTTGCAATTTTTTAAAGGGCCCTGAGTCATCTAATAGACGAAAATATTCTCCCGGCACTTTTTTTCTCAATTAATCACACTGGGCTAGAAGGCTCAAAGTTCATCACCTGTCCGCGGTTGGGGTCAAGAATGCGTGTGAAGCGCAGGTCACTGCCCTCCCAGTTGGGGTTCACACTGTAGACGCGGAGCTGCGACAGCTGGAATGAGGCGTTGAAGGCCTGGGCTCGGACGTGGACCACGATGGAGCTCACCGACAGGGACATGCCCTCAACCACCTTCTCTGCAAACCCGTACTCACTACAGATACGCATGCACACACCCCAGCAAACACTTTTACGAACCAGCACCTACTGCGCAGCACATTCATCAGATACTCATGCCTGGCACATTGAATTAATTACCAGCTGATTAATGGTATATTATAAACTCTCAAAGCCGGACAATCCATAATTCAGGGTGAGCTGGAAAAGCTTCTCAAATTTAACAAGTAAAACAAATACAACTAATTGCACAGAAGGAAGCGGTGTTCTGCCATCCATCCGAGTGCATGAGAAAAGCTCTGTACTTAATCACGTGTAGTAAATTCAAGATGCGCTTATCAACAAGTGCCAGGAAGTGCAAGACATTATGCCCAACCATTGCAGGAGGAGGCAGGGCGTCACAGTGGTCACAATCGGGCCTCATGACAAGAAGGGTCTGGATCCAATTACCGACCTTAATGTATGAAGTTTGTATGCTTTCCCCCTGTTCTGCAACAGCTTCATAGCTCATCAGATTCCTCAAGGATAAGATTCGAATTCGGTTTACTGGTTTCTTCGCATTGCTAAAAACACCCACAATGTAATTTGTATTGGCCAAATATCCCAATGCTGAAAATGTACTTACAAATTACTCAATTATGATTAAACACAGTGGCAACATCACCCCCCTATTGTAAAGACTTGGTGGAACCCTCCTGGAAAAGGGTCTTGAGACTCCGAGGCTTTCCTGGGTAAACAAGTAGAGTAATAATGCTCTAAATTATAATCAAAAGCAGTCACATACGACAGGCTAGCCAGCACTATAACTCACCTTTGCCCTGAGATGGTGGCGATGGGCGAGGGCCCGTTTGGCCGCCTTGGCTCCTCGCACGTCATCATCTCCACCTCGACTTTGTCAAGGAACTGAGAGAAAAAGAGCAGCGTAGTTTTAATTGTTGTAAACACAGCAGCTTGGTTTGGGCGACAGGGTGGTGTGTCGCAGTAGTAACACTTGTGTCTCACATTAAGAAGGTACCTGATTTCAATATTCCACTTGGGCACATTTCTATTTAGAGTTTGTATGCTGTCCCCCTGTTCTGCATGGGATTTTTTCATATTTCTCTTAATGCCGCCCATAACTAAAAAACATACAATGCTGAAAAAGTACCTGCAAATTACACAATTGGGATTACACGCAGCAGCAGCAACATCGCCCCCCTACTGCGAAAACTTGGCAGGACCCTCCTTAAAAATTATCTTGAGACTCAGTGAGGCTTTCCTGAGTAAACAAGCAGAGAAATAATAAGCGTTGCTTGGTGTTTCGAGTCATGACTAACCATCTGACACATCTGTAGTGACATCGTGGATGTCACTGGGTAATGCCGGCTCTAGCGAGGCACGGCGTGCGATATATTCTGCTAGAGGGTTTGAGAAGGTGGTCGTGGCCAAGGGCAGAGCCAGCCACGACCAGTAAGGATATAAACCGGGTTCCCAGAGGGACCAGGGTTCAGCGATGCTGTTGTTATCCTGAAAATCTACGTTCTACGTTCTACATCCGAGAAGAGACCCAAGCCGGGATCCATTGCGTTGTAGCTACTCCCAGTGTAATCAGCGTAGTTAGCCTGGTGGTCAATCACCATAGGTTGTTATCTGGTAAAGGGGCAGTTACCCCTTTGTGTTGGTATCAATAAATGTGTTGCCTCCGAAGAGTACGTCTGCGACTTAGTTGAATTGACTATACATCCATTACAAAGCGCAGTTCACAGATGATAAATAATTTACCAGAGAAATTGGATGCGTCTTCAGCTTTGTCCATTGGATCTGCAAAAAACAGGCATGGTCAGCACATGTTGCAGATCCGTTGGTATCAGAGTGCCTGTTGCATGTGTAGCGACAGCATCATCGACTCCTTAACGTGTAAAGTTAGTAAACGTACCCCCAAAAAGTTGCTAAATAAACCATCTAAGTTGCAAAAATGTCAATAAACAATTTACCAAGCATTAAACATAAACTAATGCAGGAATCGCGTGTAAATATGCATCCCATTCTTGTCGCAAAAGTCATTAGATTTGACTCCCGTCACTTTCACAACATGTTGATTGTAAAATCAGAAAAGTGGAAACCAATTGAAACTTCAACAGTGTGTGAGGTTCTGCTAGTGTGTGTGCTTGTGTGCATTCTGCACAAGAATAGTGTAATAGCACACTGTGCTACGAACCCGACAATATGAGTTTGAATCCTTATCACGGCCATCATCAGTGGCGCATATCTTAACCGGTCGGGACCCTCCCCTTGGTCAACTCGACTTAAATGAGTACCTTGGCCAGTGTGCAAATATCAGCATTGGGGAGATAAACACGGCAGGGTTTGCTGCTAACCATGCCACCCCCTCATAGGTGCAGTGCCGGCCTTCATAAGTGCTCGCAAACAGCACTTGCAATCTAGATTTGCACTATCACTATTATTTTGCACTGGTGGTCTGGAAGAGGTTTTTTTCAATCCAATGCACACCTTTGTGTTGCTAGATCAAGCTTGCATAGACTACACGGGTGACCGTTGTCTCGTGTGTGCATGTAAACTTTACCCGCACAGCGGCACGGTTGCAGAAGACGCGTGTGATTGCCAGCCACGTGGGCAGGTCCAGAACGTCCTGTATCACCGACTCGTCGAGCTCCAGGTTGCTGAGGTGACCCTCGCCCTTGAGCGTGCTCACATTGATCTTGTCTGGCGACAGGTTTTTGGCAAACCTTCCCAAATCCCACACGAACGTCAAGAACACACGGTCAAATAATTGATGACTGTAAATAGTGTCACTAGTCAAAGTTATTTCCTGCTCTTTAAGGCAGTGCTCATCTGTTCTTTAAAGCCCTAAGCCAGGGGTAGAAATTCTACTATCCTATGGTGAAGGTGGTCAAGTCTATCTGGAGGACAAGAGCTGTTAACTAAGGTTTGATGAATTTTCCAACGACTGTCACAATACCTTCATTACACGAATGATGATACTCCAAATATATTCATGACCATTCTAGAGCAATGGTCAAATCAAGTTAAGCCAATTTTATTTTTGCTTATACACGTGGCACATTTCTGGCACAAATTTGCCACTCAAAGCACCAATGGTATTATCAGTAGTCATCAAGATGTAAGACTTTCACTTGGCACAACAAATATGAAAATCCTCCCTTCCTAAATAAAAATGCATTGGCACAAAATGCATTACAATTAACCGACGGGCATTGCAGCCTTTCCTCTTATACACAAGGGGTGAGAGCCAGTGCAGAACACAATGGACAAAAGTAGATCATACCACTACTCATCCTGTTCAGCGTTTGTTAATCATTGACTGTTATTCTCTCCCTATAAACAATCGAGCAAGGTGGCTCAGCAGTCCAGCAGTAGAACAAACAGCTCGCAATCAGAAGGTTGCAAGTTCAAATCTTGTTTGGGTGTTGACTCAGCCCATCAACCTTCCAGGGTGAATAAAATAGGTACCGCTATGGATATTCAGCAGTAGTAGTATGGACAGACTCAACCCTACCATAGCAATGTGAAACTTACACTACTGGCTCAGAGCTGTAAAGAGAGAATGTCCACCACCTCAATGCTCGTTTGAGCAGGACATCACTTTGACTTTTCACTTTTAAACAAGGTCACGCGACAGGATTAGAAGGAAGTGCGAGACTTGTGGGCCGTGCCGAGTGACGGACCTGATGGAAATGCCAAAGTCTCAAACACAACTCCCATCGCTCGCACCCCATCATCTAATACCTGACCAATCCAGCAGCAGAAAACACAAGCAGGTGAGCAGGCTGGTGGGGCTGCAGCGTGGATTACCATGCCTCGTCTCAATAAGGGGTGAGCACCACTCACACTGTGATGGACTGGCATTAGCCATTTCCTGGTGGCCGTTAATGAGGAATTGCATCCAGGTTATGTATAGTCATGGCGCTCAGCTCCAAAGGGGAGTGGGACTTCAATATGGGACTTGTAAGGGGGCCCTGTGAAGTGCAACTGCGTCGGTTTGCGGCGTATCGCCGTGCCATGGCAAAGCCTGCACGATCAAACAAGAGACATCATCCCATGTTGCAGAGCCATGCCCCTCCTCCTTAACCCTTGGCCAGACAACGTCAGTTTTACAGCACCACAATCGTATACAGTGGTACCAGGTCGCACCCTTTACGTAGCCGAGGTGACCACATTGTTGAAATACTGACATGGCAATCACAAGTAACGCCTGAAGGTCCACGGCACAGACGCCAGGACTGTGCAGCACAAGCAGAGACTGAAGAAGCGTGCCAAAAGTAGCCCTGTATCCTATAAACTACAACATCTTCCGCATTTCCCTTAGGCATAACACTGAGAAAAACATTATATTAACGATATGAGTTTAATGGTACCAAATACGCTTATGGAACAGAAAGTCCTAAACTGGTTACATTGAACACACAGATTGTATTCTCGATTACATCTCAAAAACTGATATTAGCTCCCCCTCACATTCATTGTGAGGAAACAACGGCCAATATGGTGAAGATTTGTCCCAATACAAGTCTTGCTTTATATCTGGACATGTTCGACCCCCCACCAGCCACCCGCTCGCCATCGAGACACCCTGTGTGCACCAAAGTGGAACTCATCGGTGGTCCTCATCGCTGACCCCACCAATCACCTTCCTAGCTTCGATCTGCGGTGCCGGTCATGGGCCCTGCTCAACAGATTCCGTCCAGAGTCCGTAGACAGAGCCGACCTTAACACCTGAAGCCAAGGTGACCACAACCCGCTCTGTGGATGTGTTTGGCGACAGACTGTGTCGCATATTGTTGACATTGCCCCCTGAGTAGACCGCTTGTGTTGCGATCGAAACGTCGTGGTTTTTGTGTTTATTTCTTATTTTATTTGTATTACTCAAAGAACCAGAATAAGTCTACATTATAGACTGGCAGTACGCTCACTTTTATTATTTATTTTTATATGTTTTTTTATCTACGTGACTTTACCGAAAGAACCAAAGAATACAGTACGTGTTTAAAAACGCATTCAATACTGTAACAGTAATGTTAAATAGTATGCAGTTATAAAACAAATAATTGGGAGACTATATAACACGTAATATACCTCACTTTCATGATTAAAATAACTACATTCCGCACCGTAGTTTAGAGTGGGGCAATAACACAGACGTGATCATACTACACTTCGGTCATACCGTTTAATTTTCCCCTTAATTGCTGTGGAACACTTTTTATATAATAAAACTATTTGGGTATTTTATTTTGGCACATGTAAACCCCACTGGAAATGCTCATTTTCGACGGGGACCTGGTTACCTCATAGAAACCTGGTTATTTACGTCTGCACCGCCCATACACTTAATAGTTAATGGTACAAATACGGACAAGGCACCCTAGGTGTGCATAATGCAAGAGGGCTCTGGAGCGAGGCAGTATACTACACGTGTATGTGCACCTGCACAGGTGTCAAAACCTGGGTCCGCGTCTCACCTGGACAGAGTCTCTGGACAGAGTCTCAGGACCACACGCTCACACGTGTACACGAGTCTCAGCGCCCGTATCTCTAGGTATGAATCTCAGGACCACACACTGTCCCGGACCAGCGTCTCGGGACCCGGTCTCACCTGGACCTGCGTCTCGGGTCCCGCGTCTCGGGTCCATTGTCACACCTAGACCCGAGTGACACCTAGACCCGAGTCTCACCTGGACCCGAGTCTCACCTGGACCCGAGTCTCACCTGGACCCGAGTCTCACCTGGACCCGCGTCTCGCGTCTCACCTGGACAGATGTTTCAGAATCTGCTTCTTAATGAGCGCCGCCATTGTGCGCGGAGTCGTCGGTCTCACTGCGAGACGCGACGCGCCTCTCCTCCCAGCGCCATCCCCGTGCGGCTCGCGGCTCCAGCAGCGGCTCGCCTCGCCTCGCCCCCAAAACCACGATCAGCAGCAGTAGCAGCAACAGCGGCGGCAGCAGCGGCACGGAGGGAGCTGCACCGCCACCCGCTGTCGTCTCGTGTGGCCGAGGCGGCGCGACCCCAACAGACACGCGCGATACCCACAATCCCCCTCCACAACTTCCGGGGCATCCGGTACACATCCCATTGGAGGGGAGGGGCTAGGGGAGCTCGGGGGGGTTTGGGGGGAATCCCCCAATTTGAGGGGGGGGGAGAGGAGGGGGGGGAACAGGAGGGGGAGAGGAGGGGGTGGAGGAAAAGGGGGAACCAACGGGGGGGGGGGAGAGCGCCCCTCAGTGAGGCAATACAATACGGGGGGCCAATTGTCACCGACAAACGCAGAGGTGTGCAGAGTCAAGGGGCACAAATAGACACGGGGTAAAAGGGAGACGGAGACACGTAGATGGACATGGAGACACATGATAGGAAGAACCCGAGATACACAATGAAACAGGAAAACAGAGCCAGACAGAGGGACATGGAGACAGTCACAGACAGGGTTACAGACACATGGACAAAGGCAGTAGGCCACAAGAACAGACGCACACATGAGCAGACGTAAGGCACAGACAGGGATCCAGGGCCGGGCAGAGGGACATTATGACCAGTACAGAGACAAAGTGAGACAGAGTAGGGATGCATAATTGCAGACCCCTTTGTCCACACATTTGACATTTTTGCATAAAGTGTCCCGAATTGGCCAGTCACATCAGGGCACACATCTGGACATTAAGAGACAGACATGGCGACACAAGACAAGGAGACACAAGACACGGAAACGTAGACACGCAGCGAAGAATGTGTCGAAAATTAAATATGCATCAAGAAATGTAACTCATTTACAATTTCACAATAAATGAAACCCTCAGGTGCCCCAACTGTTGTTTAGTGGTCCATGCAACAATTGCTGGAGCTCTCATTTTTTGCATAAAATCCCAGATTAACCCAACGCACAACTCGCAATCTCACTAATGAGAGTCAAATGCAGGTTAATCGCTTGCAATTCTTCACATTTTACAGCCATTTTAGGAAAGTTTTCAATATAGAAAAATGTCATCGGTCTAAGCTGGTCCAAAAAATGATGTCGAGTGTTGACAGTGGTCCCCAGGTCAAAATAAGTTGGGAACTGGTCCATGACGGACGGCGACCAAATGAACATTTCGCAGGTGGTAGACGATTGCCGCCCTGAGTGTACCTCCAATTAGCCATATGCCTCTACCCCCTCAATGCAAAGTAGAGCCCTTGATTAGTCCCGAATTTCATTCATATCTGACAGATCAAGCAATGTGTGATGGCACGACGGACACAGGAAAAGTTGTCTACTGGAGTTGAGTGGAGCTCGACAGGTGGACAGCCAGCGACATGTTGGGACATCTTCGTGGTGCATAGATCAGGATCTCACGGCCACAGCCATTGGCGTCATCACTTCGTGAACACTTTCTACTTTTCACCAGATCCTGCAGCTGCTGCAGTCGATACGAGACCAGCCTGACAGTATCCCACAATTCTATATAAAGGCAACGCTTCAATTCGGTCTCATTCCACCTGCGAGTTCAGCAGCATTGAGTTTCCAGCATCCTTCGTATGTCAGTCGGTAACCGCGAGCTGCCAGAAACTCCTACTGGCCAGTCACATGGCACAGTGACATGGCCCAGCGCAAACGCATGTGCAGATTGCTGCCGGTTCCAATGCAGACCACCCCGGTAAAAGACGTGTGTGTATTAACCATACATTAAGTGCCGTCAGCTTCACGTCCGCTACAATCTTATCATTTATATATTTACTAGATTCCAAGAACACAGGATGAGATGTTACTATCCTTTGTGCAAGCACTTCCAAGAGTTCATGAACAGTGAGCCTGGTGAAATTTGGGGAGCGCATCGTCAGTAGTGAACCTTTGGATCCTAGGGTGTTTCGGCCTTTCATACTATACACCCTCCCCAAAGGCGGCGAGCGACAGGGTGATCAATCCTACGCTTGCGTCCCATTCCCAATTCGTTATAGGAGTTGCCTTGTTGTTGATAGCCAACATCCCATATTATATGGTACCACAGTCAAAACTACACCTACAAAATAGTACACAAGCCTTAATATTCCTTCTTGCTCTAAAAGTGCCTGTAATATTACGCTTAATACAATTTATATTTTACAGCTACAAGGTGGGTGACAAAGATGATTGCATGAAGGTGTATAATGTCGTTTCACCAAATCACGTCACAAATATTTCCCACAAACTTAATGTATTCGTTAAATACGCATCAAAACAAATTTCTTCTTTGTTTTATTGTATGTAAAAACTTAAAAACGAGAAAGACAGATGTCACGAATGCCAACATGTAATGTTTCGACTTAAAGCTTTCGTGACTGCAGGAAATCATACTCTTTGGGTCTTTCAGTAAATACAGCAGGTGGAATGCTGCGGCAGCAGTCCGCCTGCTGTATTTTTTCCTGAAGACGATTGTTTGTATTGCGATTGAAACGTCGTAATCTTTTATTATTTTTCTATCCGTGACTTCAACGAAAGACCCAAAGAGTATGTAATGTTTCCTTAATAACACATCCTGGGATAAACACTGCTTCAGGCCAAGCCGTGTCAGTGCACCGAGTAGCCACTCTGCTTCCCCCATTGTGAGCAATAGCGGGCACTCATGTGGGAGGTCACTTGTCCATGGGGCGGCCCAGTCCGGGGCGAGCGGGCAGCATGCGCGGACGCGGGGGGCCCATCATGGGCCCCGGGAGCATTGTCATGTGGCCACCCATTGGGGGACGCATTCCTGCAAAGATCACAAGCGAGAAAATAATGGATTTATATAGTCTCGAAATACAACTGCATCTCATGACGCTGTACAGAGAACAGTGGGAAGATTACACATTTCGAAGCAGTCGGTCATAGACATAGGAAAAAAGGTCTAAGGACTGGACTTGGAAAGGGGCAAGGGAGTCAACAACACAGATGGCTGGGTCAGGGAGTTCCAGACTGTGGGAGCAGCAAAGAATAAGAGGTCAGTCCCAGGTGCAAAGTGTGCAATATGCCATATATATACACATACACATATTTATAGCACATTAAGTATTGATTTTGTATCAACTGCAGGGTTTCCATTTCCAAATGATATTATTTTTAAACCAATATACTCCAGAGAATATTTAAAAACTGTAAATTTGAAGCTACTGTAAGCATACAAATATTTGCTCTGCTAATTATTGAATAAAACAGCTCAACGAAAACAAAATGTACATCCACTGTGGTGGGTACTTCATGCCAACATTTCAAGTGGAACACAATAAGGTTTTTAGAGGATTGATATGAAACCTAATTATTTGAATGATTTGCCATTGACACATGGCTATTTAATCATTTAGTATTTTTTCATGACGTGTGTATGTATGATGAACTTCTTTCGCACCGTACGTATCCAACCATTCTAATTGGAGGTGCGTTTAATGTCAGTTACTTTAGAATGCAAAAAGCAATTCTACGATATTCCATGGCTTTCATCTTACCCGGTCCAACTTGCATCATGCCGTGGGGCGGCGCCAACAAAGGCATCATGGGGGGCCCTCCGATGGGTGCTGCCAGTAGAGGTGGTCGGCCAGGCCCTCCTGAACCCATGTGGAACAAAGAAAGTATAAAAATATTCACTCAAATCTAACTTTTAGTATCCAAACACCAGGTTACACAACATTTTGTCCTGAGAAGGAAAATGAGGAAATGCACCTTTTTGGCACATACAAATTTTGTAACCACTTTTAATTCAAGTGTGGTCTTCTATACAAGACCACACGTTGAGAATTTATCCTCTCAGACTTTCGCCACATGCTACTGAGGGCATCCTCAGTAGTGTGTGGTGAAAGCATGTGGAAGATATGCTCAACACGCAGCCCAACCTGAAAGAACATAGTTGGAGGAAATTAACTTGCCGAGGCTTGGGGGAGGCGGAATCATGGACCCTCCAGCTGCAGAAGGACCAGATCCCATCTTGCCTTGCTGGAACGCAGCAGCTACACACACGTGCACGTAAAGAGAACATCTATGTATCCTACATAATACTGTTGAGGCAATTTTTCTTTGCAAATGCTTGTGAAGACAAAATACTAGAATAAAAAAACAGTCAGTTGCCTTTAGGTCAGCAGTCCTCAGCTTGAGAATCAAATCAATCAATTAGTGCAATTAATATGTGCATTCTTATACTGCAAGGCTATCAGAAAGGTGCTGTATTTCAGTTTGCAGTAGTTTTACAGGGAGTGATGTTAATGTTTAATCCCAGTTGAGTATTTTGCAGGCAATTTTTCTAAAATGTGGACCACACAATGGCCTAATAATTTCAAATGAGATCATAGGATCTTTAACATCCACTATAAACCAGCCTTTGCATATTTTAGGGTTAATATGCACCCACAGTACTAACGAGGGAGGAGTGCCAAATTTGAATCGCGAACCGCTGCAACAAATGACGAACGCATTACCACCGATCCATGTCACCGAAGGCAATGCAGTTACAACATTCCCAGCGTGCAACCTGCAATTGCTCTGCATGGCAAACCAAAGCTGCAGCTAGCGAGCCAAATCCAACGGATCCCGGTAACCGTTTAACTGGACAAAGTGAAGTTGTGTTCATCTTGGCTGACAGGACGCGCATACTCGTTTGGTCGATGAGATTCTGCGCCTGCTCCTCCATCCACTTCTGGTAGTAGTCCTTCACATTTTCCTTGTGCTTGCGACCGCCACAGTGCGTCTTGCGCACCGAGGGCTGACAGCACAGATCACACGTTGTTACACGCAGCACACAAGTTCGCGCACAAACACGTTACGACTTTACTCCTGCACAAGATGTTTGTGGTTGTGTTGTATAGCTCTCTCCGCGTGTTGCTCGGCATGTCCAACGTTTCACTCCATGTTCTGGGAGCATCATGAATGAAACTCATTTCAGCAACAGTTATGAATTCAGTGCCCAGAGCCTTTTTTAATTTAAGTTTTGAACCGAAATCAGTGTCTTGAAGGTTTCAACACGTGGTGCGAAACGTTGCACAAAATGCCTAATACGAGGTACTACCCAAAAACGTATCGTGCAGCAATAGCGCAAATGTATTGACACCAAACCCGTGCAGCTTGTTAAAGACGCAGGCTGCGCTTATTCAACAAGCAGAACAGAGCGCTGCGGTCTGCAGCTGGAAACTCACCGAGTCGTGCGTCAGGTACGTGTCACAATAGTCGCAGTAGTACCTAGAAGGGGGGGGGGGGGGGGCACACACGAGACAAGTCAAAATCGCAGTGACCCCACAATACGCAGACCCTTAAAGAGGACACATGAACCAAGTTACCCGTGCCAGCTTCCACGACAACGGGCAGTACCGTTACATGCCCTCACGGAAGACGCTGAACTACAAAAGACACCCGCTTACAGGGATGAAACAGGCCTCGGAGACACAAGTCAATCTAACAGCGAAGGCAGATTGTAGACACGGAATCGGCTGCGTCAATATCATCAGCCATGATCAGCCCACTGCTGGATGAAGGTCTCCCCAAGCCGCCATCCCTCGTGTTCCTACGATGTAACAATCCACCCAGCACACGAGCCGATTTCATTGCCGAATCTACTGATACGTCTCTTGTACACTTGTTTTAGACGTTAACATATTTGTATTAAAAAGCGCCCTCCGTGTATTGGACAACCGATGATGTCGCGAGGAGAAGACGGAGTGATACATCAGCTGGTGTGCAGGTGATAGGTGGATTATTTATTAGATGGCAGAATAATTTTATCCAGAAGCGGATGGCCAGAGGCCGACGATGATGATGGGGAGGCCTTCATCCAGCAGTGGAGAGACCACGACTGTTAGTGACGAGGCCTTCATCCAGCAGTGGAGAGACCACGACTGTTAGTGACGAGGCCTTCATCCAGCAGTGGAGAGACCACGACTATTAGTGGCGAGGCCTTCATCCAGCAGTGGAGAGACCACGACTATTAGTGGCGAGGCCTTCATCCAGCAATGGAGAGACCACGACTGTTAGTGACGAGGCCTTCATCCAGCAGTGGAGAGACCACGACTATTAGTGACGAGGCCTTCATCCAGCAGTGGAGAGACCACGACTGTTAGTGACGAGGCCTTCATCCAGCAATGGAGAGACCACGACTGTTAGTGACGAGGCCTTCATCCAGCAGTGGAGACCACGACTATTAGTGACGAGGCCTTCATCCAGCAGTGGAGACCACGACTATTAGTGACGAGGCCTTCATCCAGCAGTGGAGAGACCACGACTATTAGTGACGAGGCCTTCATCCAGCAGTGGAGACCACGACTATTAGTGACGAGGCCTTCATCCAGCAGTGGAGACCACGACTATTAGTGACGAGGCCTTCATCCAGCAGTGGAGAGACCACGACTATTAGTGACGAGGCCTTCATCCAGCAGTGGAGACCACGACTATTAGTGACGAGGCCTTCATCCAGCAGTGGAGAGACCACGACTATTAGTGACGAGGCCTTCATCCAGCAGTGGAGACCACGACTATTAGTGACGAGGCCTTCATCCAGCAGTGGAGAGACCACGACTATTAGTGACGAGGCCTTCATCCAGCAGTGGAGAGACCACGACTATTAGTGACGAGGCCTTCATCCAGCAGTGGAGAGACCACGACTGTTAGTGGCGAGGCCTTCATCCAGCAGTGGAGAGACCACGACTGTTAGTGGCGAGGCCTTCATCCAGCAGTGGAGAGACCACGACTATTAGTGGCGAGGCCTTCATCCAGCAATGGAGAGACCACGACTGTTAGTGACGAGGCCTTCATCCAGCAGTGGAGAGACCACGACTATTAGTGACGAGGCCTTCATCCAGCAGTGGAGACCACGACTATTAGTGACGAGGCCTTCATCCAGCAGTGGAGAGACCACGACTGTTAGTGACGAGGCCTTCATCCAGCAGTGGAGAGCCCGCGGCTGATGGCGCTCCGCGGCGACTCACTTCGGCATGCTGGCGCCTCCCGCACAGGCCCCGACTGACGTCATTCGCGCGCGCCGCCGCCGCGCTCTTATAGCGATGACGGCGGTCACGTGGCAGCGCTCTGGTTCATGCGAAGTTCGATCACCATGGCAATGCAACGCCGTTACCCTGGCGACCGTCACCCTGGCGACCGTCACCTTGGCAATGCGGCATCAGTGTTGCTGTGGTTACCCTCACCATGGCGGTGACACAATTACAGCGTCACCGATTACACTGGTCAACACACTTTTTCTGGCATAAGGTATTCCAACGGCTTTAAGGTAATTTTGGGGTGCTGATTCCAAATCTGGCATCAGTTTTTGTCTATCACATCAGGTTTTTGAGATATCAAATATTGCATTTTCAATAAAAACAGCAAATTTATGCTCATATACGAATAGCTAAACAGACATCCATACAAGAATAAGATAATATACAATAATAATGAAACAAACATTTAATGAGCCGCAGCACAAAGTTGTGAGAGTGACTGCATATCAATGTGAGTGAATGCATATTACCATGTAAGAATTGAATTGTGAAGATAAGAAAAATATGTACAAAAAGGTAATTCACAATAGTGATGTTACATCTGCATAAACGACCTCTTCTTTGACGATCTCCGATGTACAGCTTGTGGAATGTCTCTCATCAAGGACCAGCAGTAATCTGCCATCATGTTTGAGTCCCATCGGCCTTGGTAACGTTCTTCCATAACTTGAATGTCTTGATGAAAGCGTTCACCTTGCTCTTCGATCACGTGACCCATGTTCTCTGGAAACTGGGCCAAGTGACTATGTAAGTAGTGAACCTTGATGCTCATTCTACATCCAAGTGCTTGGAAACTCAAGAGCAACTCCTCCACAATATCTCGATAGTTGTCTGCTTTCCTGTTCCCAAGGAAATTCCGCACCACATCAGAGAATGCATTCCAAGCTCTAGCCTCTGCCGCAGTCATTGTTGTAACAAAGTGTGGATCCCTGATGAGTGTTCTTATTTGAGGGCCATCAAATATTCCTGCCTTTTGCTTCTCGGCACTGAGACTTGAAAAGGTTGAACATATGTAATGCGGTTGTAAACGGCCCTTCTGAGGTGCCGTCAGGCAGGGAGGAGTTAGGTCACGTGGGGGGAGAGGGGTTGAGTATAGAAGGAGGGGAACCGGAAGAGCAGGGGGAGTGACTGGGAGCCAGGAACAGAGGAAGGCCACGTAGGGCGAAGCGGGGTGTGGCGAGATCGCCACGAACACGGGGGAAGCGAGGATCGGCACCGTTGGCCAGCGGTGACCGACCCGAAGCAGCAAGGAGGCTGCAGTCAGCAGCGGGGCTGCACAGAGAGAGTGGGCAGCGGGTCTGCATACAGTGACAGCCAGAGGGTCTGCACATAGGGGTAGCAGCGAGTCTGCAGGGAGGAGGTTACAGTAGATGAAGCAGAGAGTCAGAGGGGTGAGGAAGCTATAATAGCAGTGAATAGCCGGGGGCTACAAATACAGGAGTTATAACAGAGTGCCGTGTGGGTAAAGACGTGAACCTGAATAAAGACACGAAGACAGAAAGAAGTGTTCGAGTCCTTTTATTACACTGGAGTCAGAAGTGAAACGGCATGGCGAAACAACTGAGGAAGAAGAATATCCCATCTCCGGCGTCGGCTTCATCATCGGACGACGACGATCTTCCTCCTGAGGTCGGCTTCACTTCGGCGGAGGGAGAGATCCGTGAGGGCCCGGGTGTGGAGGAGGTTGCCGCTGCGCCCGACCCATCTGCGTTGAAGGACGAAGATTTAAGATGGACCCGGATGGCGGAGCAACTGGCGACCCTAAAAACCGTCATCACGGAGTTGTGTGACCTTGTCACGCCAAGGGCGGCGTTGGAAGGTGATGGTGGTGATCGGCAGGAGCCCGGGTCGTCTTCGATGGCGCCGCCATCGACCACGCGGCGTGAAGACGCCATCTTGGGCGTGGCGCACCACGGAAGGCGGGAAGCCGCCATCTTGGGGCCGCCACGAAGATCGTCCGCCATCTTGGCGACACCGCGTTGCGACGCCTTGCTGAACTTGCCGCCGGAAGAGTCGGTGACGGACGGAAGCAGGCCAAGGAGCCGCAGTCGTCACCTTACAACTGTTAAGGAGTTCTCCATCGGGGGCGATTGGAGTGCGTTCGCTTGTCGATTTTTGGCGGCGGTACGAACGGCAAGGTGGACGGACGCCGAGGCGCTGGAGGTGCTTCCGACTCTCCTTGACGATGAGTCTGTTCGTTTTTTTCGCTCTATAAAAGCTGCGAAGAAGAAAACATTGCGTGGAGTGTTCGACGAAATGGCGGACGCGTACGAGCCACCGGATGACGCCCATCGCCGCTTCGTGCAGCGGCAACGCGCACCGGAGGAGTCGCCTGTAGCGTACAGGGGCGCCGTGCTGGAACTCGCGATGGCCGCTTACCCGAAGACGGAGCCTGACCTGCTGGAACCTCTCATCTTGGGGAAGATGTTGGAGTTATCCCGGGATCTGGGCATTCCTATGCCGGCTTGCGGTCACGAGAAACTCACGTCCCGGACCGCGGCTAAGTGTTTGGACGCCCAGTTCAATCTCCGCCGCTGGAAACAAGTCACGGCGTGGACGGGCGGTCCTGTCGTCGATGGGGGGGCCGTAGGGTGGGACCCTACAAAGGCCGTGTACGTGCCGGATGCGACCGGCCCAAAGGAGCTGTCGGCCGCCTCCACTCCGTGGCCGGCTCGAAGCGAGCCGGGGCCGCGGGCTCCGCCGCCGGCGCGGCCACGTCGGGACGGGGTGCCTGCTGCGCGCCGACCCGACGTCGACTGTTTCCGCTGCGGCCGTCGGGGCCACTATGCCAGGGACTGCTGGGCCCGGGTTCCGGGGCCGCCCCAGCAGGAGGCCTCGATCGCGGACGTCCCAAAGAAAGACCCTCCGGCACAGGCAAGTCGGTGCGCACCAGACACCCGGCAAGGCCTGACACCTCACTCATCGCCGTTGTTGTGCGACGCGGATGTTCTAAAATATGGGAGGCCAGTATCTGCGCCTTGTCGCTCGATAACGCAGTGGCGTAAGTTGGCTCGGCGGGTTGTCGCGGCCGCTACAGGTTCGTCCACTGTACCGGGGTCGATCCAAGGGGTGGACGTGCGTATTTTGGTGGATTCCGGGGCGTCCGCGACCATTATTTCGGATGTCATATTCCATCTTTTGAACATCCCACCGGGGGCCGTGAGGCCGGCTTACGCTTCCTGCATCGCTGCGAACGGGGGTAGTATGGGCATCGTGGGACAGGTGGACGCTAATATTTCTATCGGGGGGGTCTCGGCCTCGGGCGTTGTGTTAATTTCGAGGTCCCTGGCGGTTCCTTGCTTGTTGGGCACGGATTTTTTGGCTAAGATGCCCATTTTAATTAGAATCAATGAAAATTGCATTGAACTGCCAGGGGGCCGCAAATTGGCGTTTTTACAGTCCACCTGGGGGCGACCGGCTCCGGTTGCCCAGGTGCAGGCGTTATCGGAAGTTTCAGTTGATATTCCACCTGGCTCGCAGATGCTCATTCCCCTACGATACCGGAAGCCGGTTCCGGGTCGGCAGAGTGCTTGTGGAATTTTGCTGTCGCCGTCCGCCGCTGTTACGGGCGGATTGGCACTGGTGGGGGCGCAAACCATTGTCCGTCCGGATCAGCGCCCGTTTTTGCAGGTGTTAAATGCGACTTCTGAAAGCGTGTGTGTGCCGGCTGGTACCGTTGTGGCACACGCCACTACGGCGTTTACGGCTCAGAGTGACATTCCGGACGGGGGGCTGGTGGGTGGTGTTTCACACGACGGAGGGGTGGACGATCGTTGGATCGCCGAATTATGTGCGGAAAATTCGGCCCTTTCCGCTGAGCAGCGTTGTGCGATTCATAAATTATTAGCGAGCTATTCCGATGTGTTTAGCTCGGACGATTTGGACTTGGGACGCACCTCGCTGCTCTCTCATCACATCGAAACGGGGGACGCGGCCCCTATCCGCTTGAACTCGCGTCGGATGAGTCCGGCTGAGCGTGAGCACGTTCGAGGGGCAGTGGAAGACATGTTGAAAGCGGATATTATATCTCCGTCTAATAGCCCGTGGGGTGCGCCTGTCGTGTTGGTTAAAAAGAAAGATGGTAAATTACGATTTTGTGTGGATTTTCGGAAGTTAAATAAAGTGTCGGTGGCAGATGCGTATCCCCTGCCGCGTATGGACGATTCTCTCGACGCCTTGTCAGGGGCTAAGTTTTTTTCAACGCTAGATCTCTCTTCGGGCTTCTGGCAGCTTCCCCTTGACGAGCCCTCGCGGGAAAAGACAGCGTTCCGTACGCCGCAGGGGTTGTTCCAATTTAACTGTCTGCCGATGGGGTTGAATGCAGCCCCTGCCACCTTTCAGAGATTGATGGAGTTGGTATTGACGGGGTTGCAGTGGGAGACATGTCTCATTTATTTAGATGATATTATTGTCTTCAGCCGCACATTTGATGAGCATTTATTGCGGTTGGAGGCCGTTTTTGCCAGAATGCGTTCTGCTAATTTGAAATTCAAGCCTAAGAAATGTCATCTACTGCAACGTTCCGTTCGATACTTGGGACATATTGTTAGTGCGGACGGGGTGGCCACGGATCCAGAGAAAACTGCGTGTGTCCGGGATTGGGCAACCCCCGCCACGGTGGGTGATGTGCGTCGGTTTTTGGGGTTCGCCTCATATTACCGGAGGTTTGTTCCGAATTTCGCTACTATCGCCAGGCCTTTGCATCTCCTTACTGGGAAGGGGCACAAATTTGTGTGGGGACCGCCGGAGGAGGCGGCGTTTCGGAGCCTGCGCGACCTACTGGCTACTGCGCCGACGTTGGATTATCCGGATTTTGAACATCCCTTCATTCTGGATACTGATGCGAGTGACACCGGGATTGGGGCGGTGTTGTCCCAGTCAAAAGGTGGTGTTGAGCGTGTGGTGGCGTACGGGAGTCGGGTTTTGTCTCCCGCGGAAACTCGTTACTGCGTCACTCGCAGGGAACTTTTGGCTATTGTGTATTTTCTCCGCCAATTTCGACCGTATCTGTACG